GGTCGCCGCGACTGACTCTGTAAGGTTGCATATGAGATCCTTCGCTGTGCTGCGACGCCGCGAAGTTGTTTCAAGCAACGACTCAGCAGCCCGCATACTCGAGGTGCAGTCAGAAACACAGGCTAACAATAGCTAGCTGCGCAGGAATCTGTGAGCTCTCCAGAGACCCATCTACCAAAAAATTCACACGCATTCGTCTGAAACTAAGCACGCCTCTGTTGCAATATCGCCCACGTTCTGACACCATCAACACGCTCCTGCATGAAGCAATTCACGCTTACTTCTTCATTACCACATCCTGGAGGCATTCAAGAGGAGATGACGGGACCGGGCATGGTGTCGGCTTCCAACTGCTCGCCGACGCCATCAACAACCACGGTAACTACGACATCACCATCTACCATACGTTTCACGACGAAGTAGAGAGCTATCGAACGCATGTCTGGCAATGCGATGGGCCGTGCAAGACACGACCACCGTTCTTTGGTCTTGTCAAACGCTCCATGAACCGCGCGCCTGGTAAGGGCGACACGTGGTGGGCGAGACACGAAGCAGAATGCGGCGGCGTGTACACCAAGATCCAGGAGCCTGCCATGACTAAGAAGCAACTTGACGCGATGAGCGCAAAGGAGCGCGCGGGAAAACAAAAGAATAAACTTGACAGCTGGATCAAAGGGAGCTCAAAGGCTCCAACGACACCAAGTGGGAGCACTTCTGACAGACCTATTGATCTCGATGACGAGTATGAAGGTTCAAAAGTCGCTATCAGAAAGCGCAAGGCCTCAACTCTGGTTGCAGAGGACGTTATCGAGAAAGATGGACCAATGTCAGGTCATAAACGGTCACGACCAGAGGAAGACGCTCAGATTGTCGAGCACAAGGTCATGGTGCAGTGTCCAATTTGCGACCAGACCATGGCGGAACGACAGATCAACGATCACCTAGATGGGGTGCATACCTCTTAGCAGTCTTTCCTCGCTTCGGATGCCAAATGCAGTAAAGCTACGTCATTTCCAAAGGACCTCATGATCGTTTTGGAAGAGGCCAACATGCTGCATCCTGCACCCGCAACTCTCGCCACCAACCCATAGGCTCAAAAGGAAGTCATCATGACACAATCACCATCTACATCTCGGCTACTATGTCTCCCGAAAGAACTTCGTCTTGAGGTTTACGACTACCTGTCCGTCCTAGAGCCTAGAAGCTATCCATTCGGGCATTCTCCCATTGCATCCATCGATCGTAGACCGCCTCCAGTGGCACTACTGCTGAGCTGCAAAGCTCTGCACGACGAAATCGAGGACTACTTCTTCAGTCGAGCTACGCTGCGCTTCCTGCCTCCAACGTGGTCATTATGTAACGATAACAACCTTGCCTCAGCCAGAGCATTACGTCTCGCTAGACGAGCCGAGCTCTTCTGGGCGTGGGATAGGAATATTAAATCTGTAGAAACGATACCCGTCGACCAAGCCCAATCGTTTTTCATTGACGCAGGGGGCTTTGCGAGGACTGTCGACCTGCTACGCAACGATGCAATACATCTAAATATGCTCATTCTCACAGTCCAGGATCGTTGCAAAGCTCATTGGAAAATAGGGTGGTCGGCCAAGCTAGATTCGTTGAACCCGCTCAAGGAGTTGCCGCCGAGGGTGCGCATTGTAGTTGGAGAAGAGACGTTCTCTCAGGCTGACGAGGGCGCCAATTTCAAGAACAATCTGAAAGAATACATAGAGGGTCTCGTGCGTGAACGTCGATATCCCGACATGTCAGATCCTCGAGCTTAAGCATACTTATGTCGTCTTGTCCAAACGCATGTTCGAAGGCGAACCAGGATCGACTGGAGGCGCAAACCATCGTTCTTGGCTGCTGTCCCTGGGCTTTCAGTTGCTATATGGCGTGCTTCGGACAATAGATCACGGCTGAAATCAATAAAGTGCTCGATGTTGCCGAGCCTAATGGCCTTGGCCAGACAGCAATCGAAGGGTTGACTTTGGCTGTCACGCCTGGGCCGCACGAATGTAGAACGAGAGACGGTCTCACTCCGAATCAAGCTGCATTAACTTCTACAAGGCTTCCATTTGAGCAGCGAGGCTGTGCCCATATTCAGTTACTGCACTAGGCTCAACGCGGTCGGACATGCTGTCAACGGTTGAACCAATTATACACTGGACGCAACTCACTAGTAACACTGTCTTCATGTGCGGAACTGTTGTATATAAATCTGCGTCATTATGGAACTTATCTTCTTCAAAGCCACGATCTCGTTGCACAGCCACTCAGCAGGCCGCCGCAAACTGAGACGTTCTGCCTGGATGAGTCCCCACAGCGGCGCGTGACCAGCGCCATGAGGCTCGCACACCCGACACAATACCAAGAACGACCCTGCACGAGCCTACATCACCAGAACCTTTCGAGGTCATCTTGGATTTGATCAAAAATGGCCAGATCCCGTCTCGCTCAATTACACACAAGCCTTCATCACCACCCTAGCCATGGCCGGACCATTCCGACCCGCGTCCCCTGCAGAAAACCTTCCAGCGTACTACAACGACCTCGGTGATGAGAGCATCCAACATTGTTTCCGCAACTTCGACAATGAGCGCAACTTTGACCTGTTCGATAGGCAGACGCGCAACCCCAGGACTAGCAACTTCTGCGTTGACTTTGGCGAGCACGATGCGTTCTGTGCTTTTGATCTGGACGCGCAAGCATACTCGAAGCTCCTCTCCTCTCCAAGGCCTCCGCATCTACACACGCGATGGATCAATATCTGGATGCCGTACGTCCAGAAAGATCTGGTCAAGGTCCTTGGTCAGCACTTTGATTTCACGCCGCGACTGCTTGGAATGATGCGGAGTGATCCCAGTCCGCCGAAGCCGCAGTCGTTGCGAAAGAAGAAGAGTAGTTCGACTCTGAGATCTCGGCTGTCGCACAGGTCGAATAAATCCGATTCCATCAGGCAGCGGGCGAAAGAGGCGAATCAAGCGAGTCTGGAGTCGGAAGAGAGTATCGGCATGACCGAGCTGATGCATTCGACACAGCTGGAGATGGTGCAGGATCTTAGTCACTATCAACTGGTTGACGATGTCTGGCATTGGAGTACTGTTGACTGGGGTAGAAGATTTGTCTGCCTTGGTTATAATTCCCTACATAACGTCCGTACAAAGCCCTCTGAAGATGTACACAACGACGAAACAGACAGAGGCCAGGACGTCCCACATGGCAAGCGCGTGTGGAACTGGCTGCTACTCTGCGAGGACAAGACCGTCATCTCCGTCTCAGAGGACCCATACCCATTCAGTCATGGGGGTCTATCCAACCAAGATTTGAAGATGCTATATACGACGCGAAGGAACCTCGTCAACGTCTTTCGTCAGTTGTCCAAAGCTCCGACACCGCTACGGGACACAGCCCTAATACAGCTCCCAATTCGCAATCGCGTCGGTAACAGCGAAGAAGAAACTGCACACCGACCAACAGATGCGCCCGGCCTGCTCTTCTACTACCTGTTCGAAGACTGGGGCACGACCTTCAACCTCATCTCCCGCCGCGACCACGGCTACGGCGCAGAGCTCGACCGCCTGGTAAGTCTCTTGACCGTCTGTCTCCCTTCAGCCCTTACTAACCCCACAATAGCGGCAAGAAATGCTTGTCAAGGCCGACCTCACGCACATCGACCAATTGCATCATATTGGCTGCCAACTCGCCGTGCTCAAACGCGTCTACCAAGCCTACACACTCATCATCGAACGCGTCCTCAAGAAACAAGAAGCAACCCTCGCCTCCCTCAAAAACTCACACATCATGTCCGGCGCCGAGTCATTCGCATCTGACGGCCCGCATCCACAAACCATCAACACGACGTCCGGCCCCCTGATCCCCGAAGCAGACAGCCTGCTCGGCGTGAGCCTGAGCTCCGCAGCCAAAGTCCGGTTCGAGAGGCTGAAGGATCGAATCGCATTGTACGCACTGAGTGAGATTGAAGAATGTCTGGCGCAAAAAGACAGTCTCGTGATGATGAATTTCAATCTCATCGCCATAAAGGAATCCTTCAGCGTCGAGCGCCTCACATGGGTCACTCTGCTGTTGGCCAAGATCACAATCCTGTTCACGCCGGTTACCCTACTTACGGGGTATTTCAGCATTCAGTTCAAGGATACCGAGTTTGAGATCAAATCGTATTGGTGGGCGTTTGCGAGCGTGTTTAGCGCGAGTTTGGCGCTTTTGGTCCTGTTTAGTTGGTTTAGCGGGACGCTGGAGGCCAAGATCATTACGAGGAGTTGGAGTCGGGTTGCGTTTGATGTGGTTGGGAGGTGGGTTTCGCACAGGGCGAAGAGGGGGAAGATGAGTTGAGCATGTGTGCCTGGAAAAAAAGGGAGTAGAAGCGCGGCCGAATATATTTTGCCCAATTCATTGCACGAACTGCTTGTGCGCAGAATGCATCCCACCGGACTGAAATCTACACCTCTCCCATCCCACCGGAGTGCGAGGCGTTCAAGACTCTGATCAATATTTAAGCTATTGCGCTGTGTCTCATACGAAAATTCTTCCGATTTTGGCTCTGCATGGCCGAGGGTGTCGTGGTGTTGAAGCCGAGATGGCGAAGCCGAAGTCGTCGCGTCATCACTGAGCAAGCATAACATAACAAACCAACACATGTCTCCGTCCTTTGCTGATGGTCGTCTCTTGCCTGACTGTCATCGACTGCTTCCAATAACTCATTTTCAACCTTACCGTGGCAAAAGCCGTGATGATGTTCGCTGGTGGAGCCTCCAATATCCAATCGCTGAGTAGCTCGCCTCGACTTCTGCTCTTGACCGCTTCCGAGTTACTTTTACGTATGCCCCGCACTCTAGCGAGTTGATTTACATCCCTCGTCTAATGACTCCTCTGAAGAATTTTCAACCTCGCCCTGGGGCCTGCTGCCAAGCGCTTACAATATAGATCTTATAAAATTTGAAGTCGTCATCACAGCAGAAAAGCTCATCGAGCTCAGCTCAGGTCTCGTGGTCTAGTGGTATGATTCTCGCTTAGGGTGAACCCAAGCATCGTTGCGAGAGGCCCCGGTTTCGAATACCGGCGAGACCCATGTTTTTTGCATTTTATTGGGCCTCCTAGAGGTTCTGCGCTCCATCTTTTTGCTCCGCGGCCGTCCACATCTGCCCGCGATGGATGTAAACGAGCCAGCTCCCTTTTCGATCGCGTGTGATGCTACGCTACCTAATGCTACTACAGCACATGGATAGAACTGATAGAACTAATTTTATAGGCGTGGTCCTGTGGTCTAGCCTCAGCGGCAGCACTGCCCGTGAGCACATGCACCCGTCACAATGCTCACGTTTCTCAAGGATTTCCTACATGCCTGTGATTATTAGGAGTCCTAAGGCTGTCACCTATTTAGGTGCGAGATCAGAGGCTTAGACCACCATGAACAACACTAGTGCATCTATCTCCAAGAAAGGGTTTTGTGGCTTTTTGGGGGCCAATGGATTGAGCGATAAGGTCGCAGGATTCGCAGCCTTGTGGCAGTAACTTTGCAACATCGGATTTCTCTAACCTCAGAGTGAGCACAACTCTTGACGCTCCCTTTCAGATGCCAACCTCGCTGCCCGGCATGTCGAATCACGTACACAAACATGTGGAACCGTTGCCATATAGCTACGCGCCGGTACCACCTCACGGCAAGGCCGAGGTTACGGCTCAACGAGTCGATGTTGATACGACTACCCGTCGCAAGAGGCATGATTACAAACCTGTGGAGCTTCGGACACGCTTCCTAGTTGCCTTTTGTATCGTCACACTCGTCATCTGCGCGTTGGTCCAGATTGCGATAGCAGCATTCATGGGCGCACCAGGACTACATTCACTCGTGCAGCGCTCTGTCGAGTTGCCATCTCCTCCGGCTTCGACGGAAAGCGGCAGACCTCTTCCAGGATCATATTCTGGTACTGGCCCGGTCTTATCAATGTCATCGCCATATCCCACATCTACGCCAACGCCAACGCCAGACGAGGCTGGAGCGCCCAGTCCAGGCAGCTTCTCAACGGTGACTGCAACAGGCTGGGGGCAGAGCTACTACTTCATCGGTGGCTATCTGCCAACACTGGTTGCGGTCCTACTCTCCATCTGGTGGAAATGTATCTTCTCGAAACTAAAAGAGATGGAACCTCTGCACCAAATGGGTACGCCGCAGGGAGCGAAGGCGCAGGACTCGATTCTGTTGACGTATCCGGGGACGTTCTCACCCAAGGTGCTATGGTGCAGCTATGGCGCTCATCACTGGCTGTCTTTTCTCGGAGCAGTGAACACAATACTGACTACTATCTGCACCTTATTCGCCTCAGAAACACTTTTCCTGACGGGTGTCGGAACTTCATGTGGCGTAATCCTCAATTCACATGCAGATGTAAATGAGGGATGCCGTATCGCTCTGGGCATGAGGCCGCCACTGGGATGGGTGCTTGGCGTCGTCCTGATTGCAGCGGTCTTGATTACGGTGTGCTTGATCAGAAGACTTCGCAGTCAGCCCTCCAGGATCAGGGCTGACCCTTCAACTATCGCCGGCATTGCGTGCCTGTACGGCGATAATCTATCGAAGGACTTCCCGCAGGTACTTGCAAATCCGTCGGCGAGATACAGGCTCAACTCGCTGGGTGAGATCGAGACAGTCGTCGGTAATTCCAACCCTACTGGAACTAGCCAACCGCAATCGTCAGCCCGAAGCAAGTATGGCCACACTGCGATGCATCCCGCAGCCTTGGCGTTTTATGGAATTTACCTTGTCGGTGTCCTTGTCTTGATCGTATACTACGCGTTCGTCAGCACACCGGAGCGAGGTGGCGGCTTGGAAGACTTCATGAATAGTGAGTCGTTCGGCGTGCGGCTGTTCATGACCGCTATGGGCCTGCTCATCAAAACGTACTGGGGCTGGGTCGAGTCCTACATGCGCAGTGTACGTCCTTACGCTACGCTTGTGTCGAAGCACGGGGCAACAGCGGCAGAAAGCGTCTTAATTCGCACCCCAGGCCATCCTATGACAGCGTTGTTCCATGCGGCGACATGGAAGAATATATTCCTAGCCAGCGTTACAGTAATGGCTGTGCTGAGTGAGGTGCTGGTCATCACTCTCAGTGGCATTCCGTTCTCAACAGCGACAGCGTATCTGGCTTTCGAGATCTCAGTATACATCAGTCTCGGAATCCTATCTGTCATGTTAGTAGTACTCTTTGGGGTCCTGGTATGGACGACTACAAGAAAGTACACAAGGCAATCGCCAGACGTCCCGGAAAATATCTCAAATGTCTTGCAGCTCCTTGATGACGAAACTGGCCGGGAGGCGCTTAGAGAATTGAACGGATCGGATGGAAAATATGCTTCGAATGTGGAACATGTGCGGTTTGCTTTGCGGGAGAAGCTGGAGACCAAGAAGTGGTCCATCATTAAGCTAACTGATGACACTCTGCTTGTCTAGAACTTTCTTTGGTTGAAGCGATAGTATAATCTGATCAATCTTCAAGCCTCTCGTCCAATGGAGTACGATTTTGAGAATGTCAGCCTTTGCGCACTGTGTGGATTGTTGCCAGTGGTGTCCGACAAGCCCAATTGATGCGGGGATGCCTAGCAAAGACTATACACGCCACCAAGGCATACTTGAGATGGACGTAGTCAAGATTTTCAAGCATTTCAAGTCGACGTGGCGAGCTGTTCGAGAAACCACGGTCACCAAGCTGTGTTAATCTCGGCTCAAGTAGCGTGCTTCTGCATCAGTCTGAGCATGAGCGTTGTTGGACGAAACGCCGCAAAGCCACCGCAAAGTCGCGTATCAAAGCAATAGCCAGCGTGGGCTCGAGCACATTAATTACTTCAAACGATGGGGTGGGACGGACACGAAGCCGGCCGTCGCGACGCTAGAGGACTTCCGAGCAAGCGCCCCCGCTTAACGACTTCCGGCCCGCACGGTTGGGTTCAGGCCTCCACCTCCTCACAAGCACTTGAGCACTAGCGTCCGCACAACCACCATTGGACAATCCTCCGCATTCGTACCGCTGAAGATGACGATCGTCAATGTGCAACCTTCAGGAGACTCCATTTACGATGCGCCTCGCTCGTATGTGCAGCCTTCGATCTGCAAGCCACGAGTACGTGAAGCCGCTCATTGACTTGCCAACTTCACCTCTTTGTTCCTGTGAGAGACGCTTCGGCCGCACTCCTGGCATGTCTTGTTTCGCGAAGGGTCGAGCTTCTCGGAAACAAACCTGAAGCTCGAGTCAAATTCTAACAGTGAGGCGGTCGAAGGTAGGCACGGCTCGCAATGTCGAGCCATCCCAGCCAGATGTAAACTCTATCTAGTCGCGCGAGTCAATCGGTCTAATGCGAGGCGAAGGACACCGTCTGGTTACCACCAGTCGCAGGCAATCCTTTGCACATCCCCAAGCGACCTCACCGCGTTGCAAAACCGGGAACCTGGCTCCTAAATAGAGCTCCACATATGCCGATCTGGGGTTGTGACAGAAACGACGCGCTATTTGGCCGCGTCGAAAGCCCTCGGCCAGGGTTACGTGAAAAGGTCCGAGATCTTGAGACATTTCGCATAGTAATGTGTCACAATTTTAGTAGCTTTAAACCTCAGCAGGCTCACGTTCCCAGTGCCCGGCTGGGGCCCCATGGGCAGCTTGAGCGCACTTTCACATTACGATCTGATCGACTCTGCATTTCCCACTGACAGTAAGCGCACCTGATCATCTCGGCACGCACGCTGCGGAACCCTAGCGACTCGCTCGAAGTGTTCCACAGGCGAAGGATTCAATATGTCGGAGACTAGCATATTCCGCGTCCAATGAGATCAAGATAGAAGACGGCAAGAATTATGCGCGGGAGCAATCCATGTCCTTACGTTCCCCAGATCTTTCAGGAACACGGGGTGGGTCTCTTTCTTTAATGCAGATCGCGTCCCCACTGCTTGATCAATCGCTTCGAAGACCAAGCTGGCTCTTGCTCGACAGTCCTCGGTAGTGTGACTCTACTCACGAGATCTCCAAATGGCAGCTGCAACAGACGAGCAGAGGAAGTCATGGCCACCTCCAAATTACGAAAACCCCGAGAATCTCCATGGCCTTATCATCGGCTTGGTAGTACCTAGTCTGACACTGGCTGTCGTCTGTAAGTGCCGAACGCTGGCAGATTCAGTGCCGGTCATATTGCGATCGTTCTTTGAGCTCCGCCTCTTATCTAGAGCACATCTCTTTCCTCCGACACTGTCATCGCGGTCTACCGCTTTCTGCTCGTCGATAGATCCTTGATAATTACGAGCTTGAACGCTAACCATGTCGTTCTGTAGTTTTGGCCACACGATTTTATGGCAAAGGCTTGCTGCGACAAATCTTGTGGTACGATGATTGGATGATGCTTGGTGCTATGGTACGTCAAGAAATCCGTCAAACTCTACAAGGCTGAAATGAGGTTAGCTTTTTGCCGTGCCTACATCGATTTTCCCACTGGTATCCATCAATTTAGGCCTTGGGATCCATATTTGGGACCAGAAGCCAGAATGGCATACACCATACAGTAAGGTAAGTGATAGCTGTGTTAATGACCACGTCGTGTGAACATTCTCTACCGTGCTAACTGTCTATAGATGGGTTATACGGCCGATCTCCTCTTCCCAGCAGCGTGCTCCTTAACCAAGATCTCGCTGTGTCTGACATACTTCCGGCTCTTCCCAAGTCGCGCCGACAAGATTTTCTGCTACGTAATGGGAGTTTTCGTCACATTGTATACCGTCGCATGCTTGTTCCTGTCACTTTTTCAATGCCGTCCAATCAGGAGCTACTGGGACCTAGATGTAGAGCAGAAGTGCATCAACATGCGGGCAACCCTCGTCTCCGTTGCGGCTCTCAATAGTTTCAGTGACTTTCTAGTATATTTGTAAGTCGCATAGAATCAAGTCGGCAATGTCCGTTAACAGTAGCACAGATGGCCGGCCAAGCCACTATGGAGTCTTCACCTTCCGGTCAAGCAGCGTCTTGGTCTCATCTTCCTCTTTTCTGTCGGACTACTCGTTTGCGTGGCAGGTGTGCTCCGAATGTACT